TTTTAAAAATTTTCAGGCTTAATTTATACAGTAAGAACTTGTAGTTTAATGATTAGATAATTAAAATTTGATATAAAATATGAGTGATTGAATAGAATAAGTCTACCAAAACTTACCCTTAGAGTTTTCAAGTAAGTGTATCTCTTCTCTAGGTGTCTATACACACATATATATTATGAGGATGGATTTATTTACTCAAAAAGTAAATCTTAATAAACTTCACTTAATAACTCATTTTATATTAAATTTTAACGATTTAACAGTTGAATTAATATTTTTTAATGAACAGATCAACACTAACTTTTTTTTTAAATAAATTTAGTATTTATTTAATATTTAGTTATATATATTAAAATTAACGTATAACGTATTTATGAATATATATTAATTTAAATTAATGTAATAATATAATAAATAATTTTTAAATTTTATAAAAAGGTTATAAAGAATTAATTTAATAATTAAATTGTTAAAATTTAATGTAAAATATAAATTATTAAATATAGAAGGTGAATAATTCGTTTTATCGGTACTATGAAAAATAAATACAAGTTTGATGGATGAGATTAGGTCCCGATAGATGTTTATATATGTGCACAACTGAGGTACCGAATACCATAATGCATGACTATATTATATTATATATTCCACTCCTAGCTCCCAATTTACAACATTCAGCCACATAATATTTATGGATCTGCAGATTACAAACTTATTGATGCTCCCAGTGCTCAATCAATCCTCATATTTAATTATATATATATAAATATGCCTTTGAAAATAAAAACCTTTATATTTTGATACCCCTATCTTCGTACCTGATAGATCTTAATGGCTATGAGTCTATGAACCATTTGAAAATGTCTTTGAAGCTGAGAGTATATATCAATTTCTTCATTTATCTTTTATAAAGCTAGTTTCAACTTTTTTATTTTGACAAAATATTATTAGAGGCTAAGTTATCATTAATATATATGACATTATTTTGGTTGTAATTATATGATGATATTTCGTCTAGAACCATATATACTTATTTCGTGAACCACGACTAATTATCGAATCGTTACTGCAATTCATATATATATATATATAGGAAATAAACCACTTTGACACATATATGGCGTGAAAAGTTGCACAAAGTGAATTGATCATAAACTCCAACCGAATGTTTAATTTGTAGGGTAGTGTGAGTGTGATCACAGGTCAACCCAAAAATAAATTACATGAGTGAGATGACCCTTTTGTAAAGATTTCGCTTTACAACTAGTTTTTAAGTCAACCCATAAATGAATTACGTGAGAGTAGGATGGATGGATGGATGATCCATTTTTAAAAATAATTTAGTTGGTAAGTTTATGGTCAACTAACCTGAAAATCTTGGATAATAATATGATAAGTTGGTGATTAACTTACTTAAAATGGAACAGAATTAAACAACGTGTTAGCAAAGTATGATATACTCAATTAAGGGTTGTACTGGTTTTAAGTTACTAAACCCGGCCGGTCCATATTTTCTTATATTAAGGGTGTGTTTTGAAAAATTGTGTAAATTAGATTATTTTAATAATTAATTATATGAATAATTGGTTATTATTATAATCGATTACAATCAAATGAAATTTTATTTGAGTAAATTTGTTGATAAGTTGTGTTAGTAAGGGGTTTAATTAGGTAATTTTTTTTATGTAGTTAACCAACTTAAAAGAAAAAAAAATTGTTGAAAAATAAACATAAATTTCAAAATTTCGTTTGGATAAAAGAAAAAAAGATTTTATGTAGGAAATCAGTTTAAAAAGAAAAAAAAAACTATATCAAAAAATAATCATAAACTTTTTTTGGTGTATTATGTTTTTTTGGTGTATAAATAATCATAAACTTTAAATTTTCAATCTCTTAAAAATAGCTAATTTTTCACAAATAAAAAAATTATTTACAAATTTAAGTTGTTTACTAATTAAATACAATTTTCCCCCCTAAAAACAGCTGAAATATGAGATTATGTTATCTCCCGATCACATTATAAAAATTATTCAAATCCTCATAACCGAAGAATAAATTAACCCACAATTAATGATGATCCATATTTCACTTGTGTCGAAGGCTTATATGAATATCTATACTCTGCTGTGTTAGAGTTCGAATAATTCCCATAAATGTATGAAGACCAAGCCAGATTTAGGCATACATAGTATAGTGGTTCATGCAGATACACTTTGTATTTTTGCGAATTCCTCATAAAAGACATTTTTGACCTGAAGGTCACCTAAAATATGATAACATTTTGAACTTGGTGCACATTACAAATATCTGGCCCAACCACTAATTAAGTTCACAAACAATCAGAAAATTCAGAAAGTTGTGAGGCTTGTAGTGTCGGGTTCGTGGTCTTTGTATGAGCAACATATCTATTCGACAGCATACCTTAGTGGGTGTCATCTGATCTTAGGTTCATTTTTAGCTATTCATCCAACTAGGTCATCCGATAAGTATATCCTACTACGGAATTTCGCACAATTAAAAGATAAGGGGCGTGACATAGGAGGATGGTTTCGTCTCTTTATTAAGTTCATCTAACTGTAAGACATGCATCTTAATAAAAAAAAAAAAACTACTTTCTTTGTAATGGTACCCTTTTTCTTAGTTCTTAATTTTGTCACTACTATATTTGACTTAAAGAACCAGAAAAGTAAATTAAGGGTCATTTTATTGGTTCTCTAGAGGGCCTAAGGTACACTAACTCGTGTTTGCATACGTGTTCCACTAAGGTCACTAAATATTAAGGACGTCCTACTACTTTCAAACAGAGGTAACGTGCTTATAACACTAATTAATGTTAGATATCGGCTGTACTTGTTTCATTTCATTCTTCAATTGTCTTGTCTTGAATTCGGGGTTGGACTTCCACTAATTTGGTATTTCACAGTTTAAGAGGAATATTGATGTATACACTTCATAACATTTTCCTACCATACTTATTATTAGAAGAAAAATACACGAAATTCGTGATAACAGGAAGAGCAAGATATTTAAAGTCGTTCAGCACCGGTTTAAAGAAAGAGAAATTTTCAAATGAAATATCTTTTGGTCCGTAATGCAAACTGTAGTTGTCACTATAAGAAAATTGTCATACAGTAACATACACTCATAGTGACATTATACATGTCATTAAAAATTACTTTTATCCACACAATAATTATAATATATGTTAGTATATTATTAAAAAGTGTGGGTATATGCTATAATGACACATAAAATATGTTGTTAAATCTCATTTAAAATCAACACTAAAATTGTGTGTAACTATATGTCAAATAGATATATACCTACATATATATATTGTATTTATAGTAACACTTTTTGTATGTCACTATATATAATATTTCTTGTAGTGTGTGTATGTGCAAAGACTTTTGATGTTTAAGTCAATACTTACAAGGGAGGAATAGAAATGATAATGAATCAAACCAAATAAAAAATAGTTTGAAGCTCCATTTTATATAGTTTGTGAATCAAATAAATTGAACTTAAGTTAAGGATTGAATTTGATAAATAAATAATTAAATTTAAATTATGTATACTTCAATTCACTTAGTTCATAAATCAACTCAACATATAAATATATAATTTATATAATTTATTTTTTATTTAATTTCAACTTATTAAAATTTGAAAGAACTTTTAAAATTTAGTTATAATTTAATAATAATAAAGGAAATGAACATTTTAAAATTTTATGATTATGGATTGATGAGTTTTCTATTATTTTATACAAGGTGAAATAGTTCTAATTAATTTCTACAGATTTTTGTTATAATCATGTTTCTTTAGAGTTATAACTTGTAATCTTGCAAAATTAATAGAATAAGTAACTTTTGTCTTAAAAAAATAATCATCTTATCTAAAATATATTATTCAATTAAAATTTTGATATGTATAAGATTCAAAAAAAAATTGAGACTTGGTTCATATGATTCAATCTAACAAGTTGAACCGAGTTGCTAATGAATTTAAATAGAGTCGAGTTCAAGTTGAAAAAAAAAATTCATGTCGAACTCGAATTAAGCTATGAGTTGAGTCAAATGTTACTGAGTTATACTGAGTTCAACTCATTTCTAACCCTAAAGAAAGGTTAAGATTGATGAAGATCTTGTATGCTTGTATGACCTATTTATATTATTCTTCTATAAACTATATATAGTGGTGGTTCTTACATTATAAAGCATGAGACACACATCAAAGAGTGAATCTCATGATTTTGATAGTGTCTTATTAATAGATAATGTGTTAGATCTTATGTTAATTGAATGAGAGTCGGTTTAGGGTCTATGGTCAAAAGATTCTCAATCTCTTAAAAGTGATGGACTTTGTAAAAATTTAATAATATTATACTAATATACTAATTTTTTTCTTTAAAGTGAACTTAAATCTTCTCCATAGGTTCAAAACAAAATCGAATTTATATTGAGAAAAATACTAACCAGAAATTTTTTAAAAGTCTATTTTAATACAAGTTTATAAGGGTTTTTAAGAATTTTTTTATATTAAAAAATACTCTCTTTTTTTTATAGAGAAACTATAAAAAGAGTTCTAACTTTTTTTCAATCATACTCTAACATTCTTTTGTTAATATTATATCTACTATCAATTTTAATTGTAAATTACAAATTTTGGTGCAATAATTTAAGAAAGACTTATTAAATGAAAAGAAAAATCTACGATAAATATAAGCTTAAAAGAAAGAGTATTAGAAAAAGTGTAGCTAACATTTTATTTATATTTATGTGATTTAATAAATAGGTAAATTTCATTTAATAATAAACTATGTGTTAGAAATATATTAATAAACGTCATCACAAGATTACTTGGATCCTTTAGAATTTGATCTCTCCCGTCACCATCAGTCTCCACTTATGTGCCACAGTATAAATGGGGTATCTGACCAAATTGAGTTTCTCCAAGAGAATGAGTCAAAAAATCCTAGAGAGGAAAAAGGAAAGAAAATAGAGAGAGAGAGTAAAAGACAAAATGGAATCAAGTCATGTAATAGCGATTACAAATGGAGAAGAGAATATTGGAGATAGGAATAAGGAGAATAAAACATTCCAATTTCGACTTCCACCCACTATTTCCCATCTTGGGAAAAATGCAGTCCACTGTGTCTCCATTACTTCCAATCTGAGACAGAAGCATATGCAAAGTGAGCATGACACGAGGAAGAAGATCCACTGCATCAAAGTGGGAATCTCCTTGGCTTTGGTTTCACTTCTATACCTCTTGAATCCTCTCTTTGATCAAGTTGGAGAAAATGCAATGTGGGCTATCATGACTGTTGTCGTCATGTTTGAATTCTCCGCAGGTGACAATAATATCATATATTCAACTCTCACTCATTGCAAACATGAATCTAAGAATGTTACATTAATATATGTCAGGTGCAACACTAGGTAAGGGCCTCAATCGAGGATTAGGAACAATTATAGGAGGAGGACTTGGTTCCTTAGCAGCATTTTTTGCCCAAAGCATTGGAATGGGCAGGGTTGGCAATTCGATCATAATCGGTGCTTCGGTATTTATATTTGGTAAGTTAATTATTTATTTGGACATTATTATTTATATATGCGTTAACCTATGGTTAATTTTGATGTGGCATGTGTATTAATTTTTCAGGATCTGTTGCAACATATCTTCGACTGGTTCCAAGCATAAAGAAAAGATACGATTACGGAGTGATGATATTCATTCTAACTTTTAACCTAGTTGTGGTTTCTGGCGTACGAGTTCACATGAAAGTGTGGGATATAGCTCGCGAACGGCTCTTGAATATTCTGATTGGGTTCATTGTGTGTGTTTGTGTGAGTTTGTTCGTCTTTCCTTTGTGGGCCAGTGATGAACTTCATCATTCCATAGTCTCAAGATTCCTCGACCTTGCTAATACAATTCAAGGTAGTTCGATCGATCAGTTTCTTTATTTCAGACAAATAGTTCTATTTTTACTAATATCTTTATTTTTTTAAAAAATATTATTTAAAGAATACTAGCCACAAGTTTGCACGTAATGTATCATCAATCACGATGTGACCCCTGTATCATAAGGTGGGTGCTAAAAGAGATTTTTTTTAATCAAATTAAGATTGGTGATATCACTTCAAATAAACTACTTTCTTATATGTATATTACAAAATAAAAAATAAAAAAATCTCAGAATACATCTTATTTACTATATAATATACAACAATATTTTCGTGAATATCATTATTAATTATAGTTAATTACATATATGCACACATATAAAGAAAGATCAAACTCTACACATGGATAAGTATTTTTACACAATTAATTTTTTTATATTAAACATTAACATAAAATTCACTGTTGAATTATAAATTCGGATATAAATATATTTATATTAATTTAAAATACTTAATACTTCATTTATATATATCAAGATCAATATTTGCTCTTAAAATAATTTCTTTCTCTTTCATTTCTATAAAATTTAAAATTATTATATTTGATCTCTATATAAAATAAGTAAATTTTGTTTTTTTTTAAATATTTTATTTTATTTTTATCTCTCCAAATTTTGAAATAACTTATTTAATTTGATCCCAATATATTCATTTCAAAATAGATAAAAAATATTTATTTTAGATATCTTAATAAAAATTTAGAAGTATCATATATTGATATGATACCATGGACAATATAGAAAATGTCACATAATAATAAAAGTTAAAAATAATATTTTTGAAATTTAGATAAATGTAAATAAAGAAATTTGATTACAAAGTCTGAATTCAAAATCCACTCATTGAATTTTTATTTATTTATAAGATTTAGCATAAACAAATACAATAATAAATTATTGTAATTCAACCAATACACCGGTAAACAATGTAAGTCTTCAATATAGAATGTATGGATATATTTCATAATAAGTACTAATAAAAAGATTCTTTAAAATTTTAAACTAATTAATTTATGTACGAGACAATTTATAAAATCTCCCTCATAAAAGTATTTAAAAAAAATATTTTTTTATAAACTAAAATTATAGTTTATGAATATGTCAAAAATAAGTTTTTGAATAAACTAATATAAACATAGTTAATTAATTTGTACATAAATTAGATTTAATTTATAGAGAAAATAATTATATATTTTTTCTATAAGTATTTAAGAGAACATTATCTAAATAAACTTTTATGTAAAAACTAATTTAAACTTTTAAAAAAATAAAATTCCCTTTTATTTATTTATTTTTTATAAAAAAAACTTGTAGAGAAATTTATCAAAATTAAAATACCAATAGTCAAAGTCTTAGAAAAATGTGTGGATGGGATTCATATAAAATTCATTGATTCAACATTTTTTATTATATAGATTGTTCAGGCGAATGCACAAAAAACGTTAGTGAAAAAGAAAACCAACCTGGTACTAACTTGAACGTTTGCAAGTCGGTGTTGAACACCAAGTCAAAAGATGAATCATTGGTAAGCCAAGTTTGAATTAGATACGTTCCTTAAAATTGAATGAAATTAATTCTATTATATTAAGTGTAGAATAAAGTTAATAATGTGTTTTCAGGCAAATTTCGCAAAATGGGAACCCTGGCATGGAAAATTCGGATTTTGCTACCCTTGGGGAAGGTACTTAAAGATTGGTGAAATGCTTCGAGAACTAGCTGCGTTTATTCTTGCAGTGGGACGTTGCCTTGAAGCATCAAAAGAGGTAGCTCATATATATCATAGGTCTATATTTTTATGTTTTTTATGTCCATAGATCATAGGTATACGATTATCTTATTCTTAATAAGATTTAATGGGCTCACTTAATGAATCTTTGCATTCAGCCCATGGCTTGTTTGAGAGAATCGCAATGGGTGCAATTAGAAACATGCGAAGCAATTGAGTCGAGGGTTGCATGCATTGTGCGAGGACTTGGAGAAAGCATGAAGCAAATGAGGAAATGTGATGCAAAGGAAAGCATGTTGGCACAGTTGAAAGCCGCGAGGACAGATTTGATGATGCTAATTTCCACGTCCAAAATGGTAGAACTTGAGGATGAACAAGTTGTTGCAATTGGTAGCTTCGTCTTCTTGCTCATGGAAGTGATAGGGAAGGTAGAGGAATTGGTGAAGGAGGTGGAGGACCTTGGTGATGTCGTTGCTTTTAGCACCCCAACAACTCCATTGTCTTCGTAGACACCACTATGATACTGTGTATAAAGCACTTCCCAATTTTGGGTCACACGTTAGAAATATGTGTTTTTTGGGGTCATAAAAAAGACACATGTTTTTAATAACAAATATGTATTTGAGTCTATTATCATATCCATGCTAGATTAATTGATATAATATGCAATTTATGTACCTAACTGTCTTTGTGTTAATTAATGGAAATAAATATAAAAATAATTAAATAAATAGGATAAAAAGCCAGATATTAAAGAAGTGTTATCACCGGCCAAGACCAAAAACACACTAAAAAAAATTAATACTATTTTTTTATAACTCATAAATACTTTAAAGTCCATCTTATTGACATTATTAAAAAAAAAAAAAAGGTTCATTTGATTGAATAAGGAAAGGAGGAATATTAAAGTTTCATCATGCTTATGCCATCGCTCACGCGATGTTATATTTACACAGTTTTAAAATGTATTTTTTTTAATCTGAAAAAGGAAATACGAAATGGACGTACAAATCTAATCTTGAGGTTGAATCTGACAAAAGCTAAGCCCGAACGTTGAACAGCACAAAAGAACAAAGTTTAAATGGCCGGCAACAATGCACAGCACTTCTCCACTTGAAACCTCCGCTGCACGCTGTCATGTCACAAATTCATATAATTCAATCAGATTCACCCCTCCTTCATTCTTTTAAGGAAACTTCATTTTTTTAATGATAAAGTATGTTAGTAGTTTTATTAATTTATAAACTGATAATAACCTTTTATCCTACATATAAATAAAGTTTAGAGTGAATCTATATATAAGTTTGAAGTTTTTTTAAATAAAAAAATATTTCAGTTAATTAGACTAAATTTTGTTAAATACTTTGAGCTATCTTTAACTATAAATGAAGTCATCTAGCAACATATAGAAATGAAATACCAATCGTATAACTTTATTCTTTTTTCTTCTTTTTTTTTTCTCTTATTTTCTTTAGTCAATTAATAAAATAAATCCTTAAATTTTTTTACTTTTCTCTTATTTTATTTGCTTTTTTTTTTTTTTCTCATCATCCCTCATACGAAAAATTTTCAAATTAGTATAAAGTGATTAGTCTGTGGTATAGTGAGTAAAGCATACACCTAGCATAAAGAAAATTCTGTTGGCCTGAATTTTCAATGTCTAGAAGAGCAACAATAGTTGGTAAAAGGAATGGGGAAGAATGGTTAAGAAAATAAAATGGAACAAACAGACGTGACTTACAATAAACAAATAAACAAATAGTATGTTGTTCATTTTGGCGTATCATGAATATGATTGCAACCAACAGGGACAAAAGCTCTTTAATCGAAGACAAGAAGAAGATGGGGTTTGGAACAAAATGTGTAGCAATTGCGATTGGTTTGTTGTGGCAGTGGGGTGTTGCTGAATGCATTCCCAACACTAACATCATCAACGTTCTGTGCAACAGTGGGGTGTACACCTCAGGGGACCCGTTTGGTATTAGCCTAAGCTATGTGTTGGGGGACTTAGAGAAGGAAACACCAACACAGAAGAATTACGAGTACCACAACATTTCACCTTATCCTAATGCCTATGCCTATGGACATGCTTCTTGCAACCTTAACATCACTTCCTCTGACTGCAAAACATGTCTTGGCGCTGCTAAAACAGCCTTGTTTAGCACGTGTCAGACACCACGGATCGGGGCTCGTTCGGTGCTCCATCATTGTACAATCAGGTACGAGCAATACCCCTTTGACGATTAGAAATTGGACCTTTCTATGGAAAGTCAGCCCATGTTTGGATTCATCTTTTTATCTACGTCATTTCTATCAAATATTCATGTATTTTATCTTTTACTTCTATCTCAGAACCTCATTCATCATCTTATCTTTCCATCATGTTTTTTCATGTCAGAATTCAGATCATTTAGAATTCATATTGATAAAAAATGGTTACTATGACTTAGTTAAATGTTGGTATGTTTAATGTTTCCTTCAAATATGATTGAGTTTGTAATTGATTCTGACTTGAAATAATCAGATTATATAATGAGTCGTACTATTGATTTGTTTTTAATGAAAATTAAGTTTGTAAACGTTTAACCAATCATTTACCATATATTGGGTACCACAATTATACCTGAACTAAGTCTAAATAATTCGTCTTTCATTTCAGAAGTGTGATTTTTTTAAAATAAATAAATATAGTTTTGGGGTTTCCACATGTTTTTTATTCCACGTTTTATGGTGCATAACATGGGTTCAAACTTGCATGATTCTTCTGCGTGTTGAATAAAAGATCAGTTGCGTGATTTCAAAACTTCAGAAGGGGAAAAGATATGCACTAAATAAATAGGGAGAAGGTAAAATATTCAAAATGTCTCCTCTGCCTGGATATATTTTTGGGATCTTGAAAAGTATAATATTTTTGGATCAGTTTGCTTGATATTATAAAAATAAAATGATTTTTCCTTCTAGGATCACCAATATTCTAGTATTAATACTAAGGATCCAACTCATATTAAAATCATTGTTGACAACAAATCTCTCCTGAGATTTCAATTCAGTTGCAATCACAAAAACTCAACTTATTTTCAGTATTATTGATGTAACCTATCTTTAGGCATATTTTTAAAAAAATAATAATAATGGAGTCAATGTTTTATTTAACAATAGAAACATCTCCGTTGATATTAAGTGTCATTCAAGCTCAATTCATAGGCTGAAACACGATTAACCAAAGGCATTGCCGAGCATGGTTCACGCAAAGTGCATAATGTCAATTTCAAGAAAAAGGTATAGTCTAACGTATATGCTTCGTAAGCATTATTCAAAGGAAATAGAAAATACAAATAAATCTTCAAAGTTGAACCAGATTACAGGAATTGATGATTGAGCCGTAATTATTTTCTGGATCACCATTCGAATTAAACATTTAATACAGTACCAATGCATATGAATTACTCGAGGGTATTTGTCTATGTAAACAAAAACAGTTAACCCAAAAAAAATAAAACCAATCTCTTATTATATACAGTGTACAACCAGCAACTTCATGGACTCAGCATATATCCCACTACGCTTTTGAACACCATATGAAATTTACAAAAAATTAAATGCTGTATACCTTCTGATCAAATCAAGTTTGGATCTCTGGTTACTTTTTCCTTTTTTGTACAAGATATCCCTGAAACTCACCATCCAAAATTAAGTTTCCATCTAGATATGTTCACCTACAATGGCAGACCCTTACAGACAGGGTCAATCAATCATTTTGTAGCAAATTTAAACAGCTTAATTTCTTTAGTTGCTAAGAGTAAAATTCTGTTACAAAAAGCAAACTAACAAATTGTTAGATGCACCAACTAGTAAGACTGACCAGAAAGATGCCATATTCAACTTGCAGCTTCACCTCATTCACCAAGGGTTGGCAAAAACTTGTATAACTTACTTAGAAAATTCTCTGCAAACTGTATAAGCCAATTATAATGGAACTTGAGAAACATCTGTTGTATTCCGTCTCCGTTCATATAAATCCTCCCGCTTAAGAAGAAGTGCATAAAGCATCTCATTCCATGAATCAGGAACACCAGGTAGGCACCAATGGCTACAGTCTTGCCGCTGCATAGAGGCTGTGCCATCTGGCCCAAGATAGTAAATGGATGCGTGGCCATCTCTTCTGCGCATTGACATTTTTGTGACATTAAGAAGGTCCAAATTCAAAACTTCTGATTTATTTGTGCGTTCTGACAAGACATCGATGATGGTTGTGAAATGGATGTCAGATACTTCTGGCAAGGAGCCTAAATCAGGTAATGTTTCCAAGTGACAACCACCACCAGTATTCCAGTCTCCACCCCTGCTACATCCAATGCATGTGTCAAGAACTCACTCGTATCTTCTTCCACATGTTAGCGATCATTCAGTCATAGCAGATTCGGAAAGTGTTGTTAAAAAGATTTTGACAGTTTGTTCAAATAAGGAACCATCACAGATTTATGATATGTTAAAAATTGTGTTCCCTTGCATTCAATAGATAGATGCCAGCTAATAATAGCATTACTAGATAAACAGTTGGAAAAAAGAAATCATTAATGCCACCTACTGTGCAGTTAATGTGGTAAGTCAGTAAAGCATATGCATCTGTTAAAAAGGAAGGCCCTAAGAAACAGCAAGTTTTGTGTGCTTGAGTCTTAAATTTTAAGCCACACTTGAAAAAAAAAATACAATCCAAAAACCAAAAATGCTTGCCAAAAGGTGTAGTGAAAAGAAAATCTTGTAACAGCCAAGTAATCGTATAAATTTAGTTAAGTTTAGGCAAATGTCATTTTATCAACCCTAATAAATTTATTGGAGAAAGAGCACAGAAACTAAGTTCACCATTAGAAAATTAATTGACTGGCAAATTTTGAAAGAAACAAGTATAGGTAAATTGGTTTGAAAGTTTACACAAACCTGAAATGAACAGGAGCATAAGTTCGGAAAAGGACATAAGTTTTGTTTAGGTTTACTTCATTGGCAATCCAACCAACTACTGTTTCCATTGATTTTCTGAATGCGTCTTCCGTAGTCATATTCATCTTCACTTCCTCCCCTACTTGGAAGTAACAACCCCTAAGAAATGAAATGAGCCAAAGATCAAAATCGCATATAATTACTTGAATATTGATGGTTTAATCACATGAAGAGTAAAAAGCACAGTCACAAACTATTAACAAAGAAATTTACCCTAGGCCCAAGCTTTTCTATATCATGGAGATAAACAAGCATAAACAATCAACTTATGTATATTGAACTTTACTAGAAGACATGAATCAGAAGAGAACCCAGTCCCTCTACATAATCTTTAACTGAATATCAGAATAGTTGCTAGTAATATCAAAACTAAAAAAAATCCTTACATTTTAACGGTCTTCTCATTATTCCACCAATGTCCAGCATTGAGAACCAGCACGTCTGCATCTCTCCACTTATGAGAAATCCAGTCCATATGATCCACTCTCAAAGTCATTCTCACCCCATCCGGTGCTCCAGAAGGTGGCCGTCCCTGTACTACAAGATACGGTGATCTATAGTATTCAATGGTGCAGTTGAAATCTTCAAACTTGAATGCCAAGAAGCCTGTGTGCTTTGTAATTGGGCTCCCATTAACCTCATATACACGAGTCTTGTCAGCAATTGCAGAAGAGAGCATGCAAAGGAGTGATTCCCATTGGTTTCTTCCAATCGAATCACCAACAAAAACTAATCGCTTGTCCCGTAGCTTTTCCAACATCCTCCTTGCATCAAATCTGTAACGAAAGTACAGTCCCTCATTATATTTCATTCCAACAACCGATCTAAAAGAAATTAACAAAGTATTGTATGTACAAGCAAAAGGCTAGCTGAGATGTAAATGGAACAAGCTGTGCAATTAAGAGCAGGAAACACCACAACAGTTTGCCCCCAAATCATAATTTATAATTTTTCTTGCTTTTGAAAAAGAAAAACAGACACAGAATAGTTGTTGAACTTGAGCAATACGCCACAGTTTATGGATAGGCAGGTGATGACAAAAGAAACTAGAAACAGTTGTTGACATTGACAATTTAGGTATCATCAGTTCATCACTAGTAAAAAAACAATAACAGAAACGCCCTTCTTCGTTTATAATTTCTGACAAAACTCACGCCCTAAGTTTGCTTCATACGAAAACCTTTTTTCCCGTATTTAACAATCCTAAAAAAGCGCAAAAAAAAAAAAAAAAAAAAAAGAGCAAACACTTCCTTCATACTAATTCATACAAAATAAAGCTAAACAGAAAAAGGGAAAACACTTCCTTCATACTAATTCACACTAAGTAAAGTTAAACACAAAAAGAATAAACACTTCCTTCATACCAACTCATACAAAGTAAAGCTAAACAAAAAGAGAACAAATACAATTAATCGAAGTATAAAGAAAAGAGGACAGTTCATCAAAACAAAACAAATTCGTGGCATGTACAGAACACACGAAAGCGCATGAACGGTGATCCCATAAGCAAGCAATCAATCAACAAGGAGACAAAATTCCAAAAAATCATTTTGTGTTCAGAGTAACAAACAACAAACCAAAACCAAGCTTCACTTTTTGTCTTCATTATTTCAGCACAACCTTCCACCAATGACCAACCAAACCAAAACCCAAAATTAATCTCGAGAAAAGAACAAATAAAAAAGATGGGGTTGGTCAGAACCTGGGCAAGTTGCAATCTTTGGGCTGCCATCGCCACTTGGTGTAGAAGGTGTCAGGTCTCCCATTCTCGGAGCAGCGAAAACCTTGATCCAAGAAGGAACAATTGGCGGAACGGTAAAGGGGATAGGTCTCATCCCAAACCCAATTCCCATCAAAGACATCACAGTTGTCGCCATCGTGGCTCAGAAACTGAACCGGGGCAGAAGTAGAAACAGAAACAGAAACCGAAGCAGAAGCAGAAGCAGAAGAAGAAGCAGAAGAAGATGAAAAACCCAAGTCAAGGATAGTGGTGGTGGCACGAGAGCGTAAGCCGTTGAAATCCAAGTAGAAGAAGCACGCAAGGAAGAGAATAGCGACGAAGAAGAAGGCGAGTACTCCGAAGGAAGATTCGAGAGGGGAAAAGCGTTTAAATTTGTTGAAAAAATGAAAGTGGGTGACCGTGTTGTCGCCAGAATCCTTGGGAGAAGTTGCGGCCTTGCTCATCTCGTTGGGTTGGAACCAAACATTCATTCATCCATTGAGGGATAGATGAAAGAGGAAGCATCAATGGCAGAGAAGCCAGACACTCTGGTTAAGGTAGTGTTTGGGGATAGCCAACGAGGAAAGTAGAACTTTCGCCCTATGTTTAGGCAATTTATTTACATTAAGAACAAAATATGATCATGTCAACTGTCAACTTAATGCAACATTAGGGCTGTGTTTGTGTTTCATATCCCTTTCAAAACATGCCAAACTTAATTTTTACTTTTCAATGCATAAAATTCAAAACTAACAAAATTAAAAATTAATTAAAATCAATTTTTATCTAAACACACACTATAATTTCGGAATGTATTTGTTCCGGTATTGAAGATCATCGCCGAAGAACCCTTAACGATACCGAGCTAAAAGAACTTGACAACAATCTTGACCTAGAACATTTGATAAGAGTAACCTGCCCTCTTAGACCTAATCATATAATGGTGTAGCGTTACAGACATGAATCGCACACTCCTCTTTATGATCTCATAAATCACGCCTCATTATGGACTCGTAACTCCCGGTATTTATTCTCGTTCCCACGGATTGTGGGATCTTATTGATTGTCTGAGTGAGCCAATAAATCTTCTCATATTTGGGTCCTTATTATGGGTTCGTCATTTTGCCAATGTGCCTCGGATCAGCCAATGGGAGACTACCACGGTACATAGCTCTCCATGCTCGAGCACTAAGGTGCGAAGATCATATTAGATCAATATTTTGCCGACCTACTTCGGGTCGCTCATGGGAGACCACTCCTAATTCCTACTATTCTTATTAATTATTAATATTCCATAGTCGACGTGGTCACCACTACCTTTTTTATTTTTTCAATTTCAAACGCGCAATAAATACTTTTAATACCTTCATCTGTACCCGTTAAATTACTTTAAATGCCTACCTCTCACTCTTGCTAAGTGAATAATTTTAATTTATAAGAAAACTTATTTTTTCTTTTTAGAAGTAATTTTAATGAAATTTATTCAAACAAATCTTATAATACTTAACACAATCGTATATTCATAAACTAAATACAAAATTACTAAGTAAGTTGCAATAGTAATATAAGTGAATTTATTCTTACCACATATAAAATTTTATGATTAAAAAAAGAGTCTATTAAAATTTATTTGATTCGCTAAAAATGATGATATTAATTCAGATGAATATATTTATCATATATTTTTTACTTATAAAAAAGTTATGAGACAGAAGCTTATCATATTGGGTGTAGCAGTGGGATGGGTCATAGAAAGAAGAGCGATCTAATTAATAGTGGCAGCTTATCATAGACACGCTTTCGCTGTTTCCTGCGCTATCCATTATATTTTATAATTTTTACTTTCATTTATATATTTTTCACAACAATTACATCTTTCAATTTTTATGTATCATATCAAAGAACAAAAAATTATGAGGATCAAAATCAAAAGACAGGACATTATAAGAACTAAAAATATAATTATGCTTTTTTATTTTTCATTTCAAATAAATAAATATAAAGTAGTATGCAAAATGAATATGTAAAACTAAATTTCTTAAATTATTTATAATCCTTTATTCAGTGTTTAATGTTACCATTTGATTGCAAAATGCTTGTAATCATGAAGTACATCGAATATGCCCGTTTCATACAATGTAACTTGAAAATGTAATATTCTCGTTTTATTATGAATTTTAATAGAACATTCCTATGTATTTATTATTTTTAGAAAAATAGTGATACCATGATTTGCTTCATTTTTATTTGAACATCTTTTATAACATGCAATGTTATATATTGATTTTAGCCAAATAAGTGTTTTCATTTATAGAAGATTGAATTGTCTTAACTATAAAATAAAATGAAACAAGGCACTATTTCAAAAATAAATTTTCCTTCTTCTCAATGTAATTTTCAAGCCTATATAACACAGGTTCTAACAAGACCGTGGAAAGTTCACATAAAAAAGCCATGGAAATTGAAAATCCTTCAAGTTTAAGGTAGATTTATTATTAATTTTTTTAATTTAAAATGATTATTTTTAATTTTAGTAATTCTTAAAAAATTTATTTTATTATAAAATCTGTCAAATATTATTATATAAAATTTTATTTTAGCTCCTCATATTTTCGATAACATATTGAGACAATTAAATTTAATATGATATTTTCATGACACTAGTAAATAGATTTTATACAACAAAATTTGATAGATTTCTTAACAAAATTTGAGTATAAAATTAAAACAAGATTTTTTGAAATTATAATTATTAAAATGATCAACTTTAAAATTGAGAAACTAAAAATAAATTTATCTTAAATTTAAAGAACCAAAACATATTTAAATTTATAATATATTATAATTTTAAAATTTGATAATTAACACCTAAATTTTTTAATGTATTATAAACAATATTTTATGTTCATTTTTTTTCTAAAGTTTGAGTGGTTGATACAACTACTTTAATATGTGAAATAATTGATTGTTTAATAATTACAAAATTGTTTATTTTTAATGATGAATCATGATTTCGTGTGTGTGTGATATTTACGAAATTTATCCTATGTAACTTTTTTATCATCATTAAAATTCAATCTTAAATTAAAAGTTTTCATTAAAGAGATTAGACTTATAAAAGATTTTTTTTAAAAAAAAAGAAAAAACAGCTATAATGCGCTAACTTCTTTTTATATTAAAATTCAACCTTAAATTAAAAGTTTTCATTAAAGAAATTAAAATTACAAAAATTGTAAAATTTTAAAAATATAAAAATACCTAATAATGTGGTGACATTATTTTTCCTAACAAAGACCTTTTTTATATACAAAATCCAAATATATGCAAACACCACACATGTTTAGTTGCGTAGAAAAAACCCAATGTTTCCCAAACCTTAACCAAATCTCCGGGATAAACAATTTTGAAACAAATTCAACAATAGTTTGTACAACTAAATTAATAAAGAAAAAAGGGAAGAAAAAATAAAAAAGAAAACTTGAAATAAAATAAATAATATATATTATATAAATTATTGCATGAACTATTATTAAGAGTTTCCGTCTCTTCTAAACCTATCTCTAGCCCGTCTTATTAATTTAATTGCGCAAGCAGACATGTATTGGGGAAGTCTATAGTTATAAAACTGAGACATATTATTTTTATTTTCAGATTGGTATATTAAAATAATAAAAATAAAATAATAAATAAAAAAATCCAAAAATAAAGAATTAAAGAATTTAGGAGTAGGTATACCAATTGTCCAACCTATTTGAGATCTACCTTGTTGTGAAGCTCCGATTTTTAACAAATTGAATTAGTTTGGTTCACAAAATAAATGGTTCAAAAAAAAATTGGTTGAAGTTTGCAGATAAACAGATATTGGAAATGTGAGAAAAAATATTACTATCTCATATCCAATAAATTTAGTCATGACAATGGAATCTTTATAAATTTCAATTAACAATAAATAGTGTTAGAAAGAATACATTAGAAGAAACATTGTTGCTGTCATTAATTTTCTATTCATTCCAATTTTACATCTCATAGAAAGAGGCGTCTTGTCTTATTGCTAAGGAAACGCATATGAACACTTCATTTGTATGTTGTTGCAGTGAGGAAGAAGTTCAAACTTAGAAAACTAACAATCAAAGCAGCAACCACAACCGGAATCTGAAATCAATTAAACAGATAACCCTATATTTGTTGCTTTATCGGAGACCCCACAAGAGGAAATTATTTTGATTTTTCACATAATTCATGGGTTGATTATGAAAGTTAGGCATTCAGCACTCATTCTAATAGACCTGCGAACCTTCTAGTTGAGTGTCCATGCATCCACACGGTTTATTTTCTTTGCTCATTGACATTTTATTTCATCTTATAGGTGTGGAGAAAATTGAAAAATGGGGTTAGATAAATATCAGGGTAAGAAGTAGTTTTTATTATAATTCAATCACTTCCATTCGACAGCTAAAGTATTGCATATTTCAATTTAAATTAGGTCGTGTATTGTGTACATGGGGTCCTCTTTCCCATCACTGAAATTTGAATTAGTTTGTACATAATCCTCCTTCTACTTTAAGCCAACTGGTAAGCTTTTCATCTATTATGCATGTATTAGGCAAAAGAAGTTACTTCAATCAACACATTAATAATATTCATTTGACTCTAATTTAATTTTATTCTGTTGTTTTATATCACAGTGCTATTGAACATTCTACCTCTAAATAATTACCCTATATTAAGAACATCAATAGGGTAATTATTAAGAAATAGAATTTTAAACACACAACTTATTAAATTGTTGAATCTAAAGTAAGTTGTTTAACCATGCAAAGGGTGTGTCATGTTAATGTAAGTTATTTAATTACCGACCTTTTGTGCGTAAGTTTACTCCCTGATTCGAGTTTCTTATTAAATTGTCATTCTGACTGTGTTTGAGAACTGTAGGGCTGATAATATTACATAAATAGCACCAGTTTTTTTATGTTAATTATGATTTTCATTAATTAATTACAATATTATAATGAAACAATTTATTTTAATTTATTCACGCGCAGGCTCAAAAACTTGTATGTAAGAGAGTATTAAGCTAATTAGCAACAAGTAAGAATGGGTTATCATATTTATATTGAACACTCAAATAATGGGTTATCATGTAATTAAGCACCCTTTCGTCTTCATAATCAACGCATCAAATCACATTTTTCACGGAAATTAAGTTGCACGTCAAATCACAATTTTATATATATCGTCTCAGTTGCATGTCGTCGTGATATCATTTATTTGTTTTATCAGGATGACGAGGAAAATTATGATCGTGATTCAATTGTGCACTACTTCTTATTCCACAATAAAAATTAAGCTGTGCTAATTAAAGCGTAAAAATCATCAAAAAATGAATTTTATTTATTTTAATAAAAAAATCATATATGTAATTAGATAATCAAATTTCTGTTAACACACTTACATAACTTAATTATTTATCATCTTGATGGTATTTACATCTTCTTATAATAAGTGCATCAACAAATTATGTTTTCATAATCAAATCTTTTATTCGGGTGTAGAGAAATTGATCAGTGTAATGTGACGGGTCTCACTAGTGTCTTTGGGTGTAATCAGAAAGAGATACACTAATTAACACAAGAAGGATTCGGGTGTCAAGGACAATGTCAAAAAAACATTTTTTTAAAAAAATATAATTGAATATTTTAAATAAGATGAAAGGGTCATTCTGAAAAATACAAATAAGCACAAAGTTCTACATTTTACTTTGATTTGGTAGGCTACTGTTCTAGAGACGTCTCTTAATAAAAAAAAATCTTTTTTCAGGCCACTATTAAGACTTTTATTATTTCTTTAGATAAACATGATGAAAGCACTTAAAAATAAAAAAATAAAAATACTAAAGACGTTGCACATATGTTATGCTAGTGTGCATGTTTGATTTAGGGTTTGGGCCTTTTGAAACTACATCATGCTTGCCACTTTGGACCCATAAACAACATGAAGTTGAGATTTGAAGATGAATAATATATCCTAGACACGAAAGATCGATTGAAATCCCACATGACACCAACATTTGTTTCCACTTATGCTTCGAGGAAACACAAATATTTTTATAGCAAGTTAGGAGTAATCTATGTTCGACCTTATAGCCTATGCAAATAACATTAACTCTGTTAAGGATGACGCGCGTATGAAAATGACATGTAATTTTTTATCAAATAAAAATTTATTTTTGAACTAACATGGGAGATATTAAAAGGAATAGAGATGAGAGAATCAATTATAGAAAATGACCTAATTTTTTATTCAACATTTTCATCAATCCTCCAATCTATTTTCAATCAAAATATATCTATCACGAACTTCGTGTTTGTTATACCATAAAAATAAAAATAAAAATAAAAAATAAAAAAACTTGTATTATGATTTAAAAAAAAACGTAAATTAGTTAGCATCGGCAAAAACATGTCAACCCATCCCACTTCGTTGACCTCCTAAAAACAAAAATATGGCATGTTACATTTTGTTGGCAGCTGTATGAATCCTTCATATTTGGTTGTATTTTATTTATACTTTCATTAATTTGACTTGATAAATATTATATAGTTATTATATTTGAAGGTGTTGTGTCTTGTCTAATTTACGTATCTTATACCCCTCATACGTATAAAGAGAAAGGCTTCACTTAATTTAAAAATAAATTTATCTAAATTTATTTTAAAAATAAGTCTATATAGACTTACTATACTCAATAACATGTATTATAAATTAAATTTGAACAATTTAATTGTTAAATTAAAAAATTTTAATACATAAATTAAAAATTTGTAAATTTTTAAAGATTTAAAAACTATTTGATACTCCATTTTATTAATTTAAATTGATAGATAATTATAAAAATATTTTATATGTTGATTTAAATTTAAGAAACGAAATATCAAATAATTTTTTAACTTTTTAAAAAATTTACAATCTTGATCTATGTATTAAATTTTTTAATTCAAGATCATTAAAATTTGATATAAAATAAAAGTTATTAAGTGAAGTAAGTTCAGGTAGACTTACTCTTAAAATAAGTTGGTCCATTCTTATATATATGTTTGTGTATCAATTTACTTTAAAAATAAGTCTTAATACATACTTCATTCAATAATTTATATTTTAAATCAAATTTTAATTATATAATTGTTTAATTGAAAATTTTTAATGTATTAATTAAGTTTATAAATTTTTAAAAAACTTAAAAATCATATAATATATTATTATATAAATTCAAATTAACATATAAAATATTTTTATAATTATCTGTCAATTTAAATTAATAAATTAAAATATTATATAATTTTTAAAATTAAAAATTTGTAGATGTAGCAAATAGTTGAAATAGTAAGAGTCTCGTTAATGTTATAAATAGAGTTGAAAAAATATATTTCATAATAAGGATAAATTAGATAATTGAGTATTATAAAAAAAGAAGTTAAAAAGAAACAATTTATTTGAGATTATAAATAAAAATGGAAGAATTGTAGGCCAAAAATGCCTTTTAATTTGGCCATCGTCTTTTTGGTTGCATATTGTCAGAAACACGGTGCTTTGGTTAGTTTCGTGAAGCTTCAAGTCTCCGTTAGTAAAGAGGAGTCCATTGCGAAATGCGAAGAGGAGAGAAAAGAGAAAAGTGTTAGTAGACAAAACATTTCTCAAATATGAATCAGAAGTAGAGACAGTTGTTGACCTCAGATTTAACATCTTTTCTTTCTACCACCGACATGTTTTATGTTTATGTGCCTCTACTTTTTTTTATTTATTATTATTTATTAAATACACCCAAATTATACTGTTAAGTTTCAGTGACAGATACAGAGATTTTTTTTTAAAAGCAATAAAAAATCCACCCAATTAAATGCTTATCAAGACTCAAGGCTACGTGCACGAACCTCAAAATGGTACTGTAAATAAATAAAAGTTAATTATACGTACATTATCAATTTTTAGTATAAAATTATTTTATATTAACAACTAATTATATCTTTAAATATATTTATTTTTAATAGTGACATGATAATTAATTCATTAAATAATTATAGTATTTGTTTGTGCGTCTCTGGATGGTCTTCGCTGGGCGTGGTGGAACCGTGCCGAGCGCGATATCAGTGGATGACTCAAGTTTTGAGGTTCTGGTGTGGCGCCGGGCTTGGCTTTATCTCGCCGGGCGTGGAGACTCCATGGGAGTCTCTGCCAGAGGTGGCGCTAGGTGCAATTTATATTGCGCCGAGCGTGAGACTTGGAGAAAGTCTCTGCATACCCGGCGCTGGGCGCGAGTTCGTACGCTGGGCGTGTGAGATCTTGTGAGGTCTCTGCCTTCCCTCACGCCAGGCGCAATAGGTATTATGCCGGGCGTGTGAGATCTTGTGAGGTCTCTGCCTTCCCTCACGCCGGGTGCAATAGGTATTACGCCGGGCGTGTTGATCCCTGGTGCTCTCTGGTTGTGCTGCGCCGGGCGCAACCATGAGTGCGCCGGGCGCGGAGGTGGAATTTTACTATATGCTAAGTTGAGTTGAAATGAATATGATGGGGTGACTAGTAGATAATGAAGTTGATGATGTTGAGTTGTGTTGTATGTTGACAAGTTAAGTTGTGTTGTATGATGATGAGTTGAGTTGTGTTGTATGTTGCTGAGTAGTGTTGTGTTGTAAATTGAAATGTTGAGCTGTATTAGTTGTATATTGTTGTAAGTTGATATGCTGAGCTAAACAGTTGTGTTGCACTGTGTGTTGCTTTTGGATGTTGTAGGCCGAAAGGCTGAGGTGTTGTAGGAGATCTCCGAGGTGATATGCGTGACGACGCATTTTGTGTGTATTGATAAACTGTGTGGTAATAACTGACAGGATGTTTATTAATGAATTGTTGATGGTTGTAATTGCTGTTATTACTTAAAAATTTCCCTATATCTTGTTCTTTTTATACTAGCTTACCCTTGTTGTTTCCATGTGTTTGAACTGCGATGATCATACTTGTATGGGAGCAGAGCAGGGCTAGATTTGTGATAGGAGCAAACTTATAGCTGGCAGAGGACGGGGAGTCTTAACTGGCTGATGTTTTGGATGTTAAGCCACTATCTGGCTATTTTGGATTGTATTTTATATTCTACGCCCTAACTCTAGTCGGGTTGGAACATTTGTATATATTTATATTCTAGATCCTATATTTATATACTCGTTCTATTCTGTCTAGTATTTCCGGTGTACTGCAGTTATAAGTGTGGTGACCTGCCGGGTCGTTACAATTTGTTTGTGTTTATAACAAGATAAAAACGGAAATACAAAAGCTCATAAGATATAAATAAATCTGATTTATCATAAATTATATGTATAAACTGCTTTTTTTTTCTTGGTTGAAAACGATCATGGAAATCTATTACTACTGTTTAAAATGGCTCACATCATAGTTTTGTGTTCATGCAAGGTAATTTCTTACTCTAATAATTTTTTCATCTCAATCTATTTTGTATAAATAAAAAATATTCTCAACAAGAAAATTTGTAATTATTTTTTCAATAAAAATATGTTTAGTTTTTCTTATTTTTTTTTAATCTATTTTAATAAAATATTTTATATTTATTCATAAATTATATTTTAATACTTTAAGAAAAATATAAATAATTAAAAAAATATTGTATAATATAAATGACGCTTTAAAAAATAATATAAATTATTTTTCATTATTTTTCTTTTATTGTTACTAAAAATGCCATTTTTTGTGGCTTTAGCATCATCGACCCTGCAGAATAATACAGAATTGCAGGGGGAGTTGGTAAAAAAAAAATTATCCGAGTTTCATAAATCTAGACCATTGAATTAGGGATGCAGCCCCTGCACTGATTTTCGACTTGCAGAGTATTATCATTAACTTTGTTTAATTCTGCTTACTTTAGAAAAACTTTTTTATTTTTTAATGAAACTTTTAATAAAAGTTTTTTTTTTTTTATATTAAACTAAAACAAACATGCACCAATAACAAATACGAAACTAAAACTAAAGAAACGCACTCTTAGGGCACTAGGGCCACACCCACACCGTCGTAAGAAAAATCGAAGATTAAACAAAGTTAATAAATTAATCTTAAAGGTAGCATGCATATCTTAATTTAAAAATACCTGCGCATAAACAATATTCCTAGTTGAGCTGAATTTGTACAATGATCATAGAGCCAAGCGCGCTGCTGTTTATTGATTTGTTTATTAGGGTAAGCAAAATCATATCTTACAAGGGAGTGCGCGCCAAGGTCCAACATTTGTTAGAACAAATTAGCTTATTCCACTAAATGATTATGTGCCACCATTTCACAAAACGCAGTACCAGAACGTCATAAACGCGGCAATGCCACTTAAAATACAAAGTCTATCCAACCTACTTTCGTTTCTCATCTTCTCCTCTTTCAACTCATTCTGTACTTTTGAATACATGTGACAAGACTCAAGCACTTCACCATAATTTTTGCTCCTTCGGCTGCTAAGTGCTTCCTTAAGTATATGCAAACTGTTTCTTCCATTAACATGGGCACCTTCCATGTCTTCCAACTGCATGCTCAGCTCTGTTAATTTAAGAGTTGTTTCAACCCCGTCTTCTTCTGTGTGAACCACTCTAAACTTCATAATAAGGATACATTCCACTACCTGACAGGGAAGAATTTCCTTGGCAGGTAGAACTGATCCAAAGCGAATAACAAAATCCTTATCTGTTGGCCAATGTCTTTGACCACCAAGAGGGCTCCAACTAGCAAGATTTGCAGCTTGTTTAATTTTCCTGTTTACTATAATCCAACTGAGCTGGAGCCCTTCCCGAAGCTCCCGCCACAGTTTCCCGTCTTTCCTTTCCCTCTCGAAGGATGCGATTGGAGGCAGACCATCAGATACAGAAAGGTTAACCACTCCATCATTGTTATCATCTCTATCTGCATAAGTGAGAATATCAATCCGGAAAGGGCAGTTATAGAACCAACCATCATAGCCATTTGCATTTGGAATTCCCCAGAGAACTTTGGAACAAATTGGTTTCCCCTTGAACCTAATATCTACTATAGAAACAAAATCTGATGGAGAGATGCTTTCAGATTCATTCATGTCCCCATAATATTCAGCTTCAGTCCAGTTGTCCAGATATTCAAGATAGTTGTTCTGTTGATACTCTACGACCTCCTTGTTTACAATAAGCGGAAAACAATCTGCATAGAACTTTCTGAATCCACCAACAGAAGAAATTAAACTTTTGACATCCTCTCTATTGGTTGAAGGCCACATAGATGAACATACGTTCTCCCACAAACTCTCTTCTTTTGAGATGGAACACAATGCTGCACAGGTACATGCTGCACTAGCCAATGTTGCACCATCAACTCGACGAAATATATCATAGAAGAGATCGCTGCTTAATGAGGGGATACTCTCAACTGGTGCAACTGACATGGTGATAGCTGAAAATCCTTTGACTGTCAAGTGAACATTATTTGAATCAAAAAACAAGTGAAGAAACTTTCATTCTTTTGAACACAATAAAGACAAAACAGTTTGTTTTCAGAAATTAGTCAATAATGCGGCATAGAATCTTTTGCTAACATGATCGACACAAAAATATGTAGTGTCATATGTGATCTCTAGGACTACCAATAAAAATTTAGTTCATCTGAACTGCCTAAGTATATAACATCTCAATCCAAAATTTTATTATGACTAAAACAATGAATAAGCTATGCTTGTTTCATGGTTACGTTACATAATTGCATAAAACCCCATTCTGTTGAAATGAACAACCTTTAAAATGGCAAGTTCATTTTTAGATGTTCAACAACAAAGCATTACAGTAGCATGAGCATGGACATATGGTATACATCGTTTCCAACATTTTGAGGTATAAAAACCAAACAACCATAAAACACAGGGAGGAAGACCACATTTCAAAATTCCAATATACATTGTTCCTCAGTTTAGGGCTCTATCATTTCAAACAAATACTATGATACAGAGGGGAAAATGCATTCATAAATACTAAGTTACTTTCAATATAATAATATGAGAAACATGAAACACCCCATCTAACCAATTCTTGTTGCTGTCTAAAGGACTATTTTAAAGATTAAAAAAAAAAAACCAAAATTGATGGAACCTATAGAAACTGGATTTGTATATATATGAGAAAAGTATACAGAAATGATAGCATAATTAAATTCAGAGTCTAGGACCCTATTAGAATTCAAACTCAAATTCAACTGTCAAAGGATTCTATAGTTTTTTATATTCTACAACAATATCCCAAAACCTCATATGAACAAAAAAAAAAACTTACACAGTTAGATTGTACCCAGGAGCAAGTTTAATGCATTGAGGAGAAACGCTAGCAACATATTTTTGAACACTCTACAATTGACAGAAATGTATTGAAAACCACAAAATTTCGTGGCTTTCACTTAATATTAATGAGTCTCGTTCATAATTTTGTAGTTTCCAACAAATTTGAACCAATGTAGAGAATGTATTACTAGCGCTCCTCCTGCATTGAAAGCCCTAGGAAAAATATAACCAATGATAGGTATCTCCGAGGTAATTTCTAAGACCTACCTAGTACATATCTATTCACAGACAAAAGGCTGGCAAGGGGAAGGAGCAACACAGAATAATCATCAAATTGAAATAACGAATACACTAATTCTGATTTTAGTGATTTCTTAAGGAAGAGTGTTGAATCTACAGAACTTTCGGAAGTTGCAATAAACATTAGTAAAACCTTGATAATCTAAAAAGTTCATTTGCAAATTAGAAGGTTGAAATACAATGGATAGCTTTTGTGATGCAGTTCTTCTATGGTTTTTAAAAATTGGTAGCAAAGTTTTTCACCATGTTTCTCAGGCACAAACAAGCAGCACGGGTGGTGACGTTGGAATCGCAATATTTGTAGGGGACTAGTCAAAGGGCTATTTCACAGCCAACCTACTTGGGCACTAGGGCTGTAGACCATGGTGGGATTTTAGGACCTGGGATCCAACTGCAAGAAATGAGACTGAATCCCACATTGGAAGTATGGAGTTCTTGGGTGGGCCTTGAGCTCTCCAACAACGGCTAACTTTAACGGTGTAATTATCCCAAAGTTCTTGTTAATTAGTATCAATGTTTTTTATCATGTCTCTCAGCCACAAACAAGCAGCAATACTCAAATGGCAGTGTTCGCCAAGGACTAGTCAAAGAGCTATTGGGGCTGCAGAGTGTGGTGAGATGTTTAGGATCCTATTGAAGAACGAGTCTTGAAATCCACATTACAAGTACAGGATTTTGGTGTGAGGTTCATAACATCCTAGCCTCTCCAACAACAATGGTGCGGTTATCCCGATCCCAAGGTTATTATCAAATTAAGTAGAAAACAATAGTAACCAGCAGAAGCAGCAAATTCTCAATAAACAACACCCTTGGCACCACATACCTATTCCAGTAGTGTAATATCGACAAATCCAGCACTCAACTCTCAAGAGGTAAGCGACTTATAGTGTGTTTGGAAATACGTTTGTACACATTCTCTCTCCACGTCTAACATAATTTTACGCAGAAGCTATTGTTTATTGCTTCCGATTAAACGTGATTTTTCACGTTTCTAACACTAACGCAAACACTAAACGCAAACACGCTATTAGAAACACTCTCTACAAGGGTTGCTTCAACATTAACGTAAACTAGAAATCACACACGAATCATTGTACATAACAAGAGGAAGTTTCCATAACAATAATCTGTGATTTAAACATCCTAAGCAGACCTCTAAGAAGAACCCATATAGTGAACTCAAATAGGTTAGTCCATTTCATTTCACACCCAATAAAAAATAAAATAAAAATCCTAATCTGTAGTGTTCAGTCGATGCCAATGACCAAAAAAGCATCCAATTAACTAGAATACGAGTTGGTTACAAAAATTACAATTATAATTAAACACACTATACCACTTGATTCATAATACAAAATTGACATGAATGACTTGCAGCGCTTCACATAATTGAAGCATAATGAAAACCCTTTAGGTGAAACATCCACAAACTGCATAACAAATAGAAAGTAGAAACAAAAAAAATATTAAAAAAAAAGGCAATAAAATTGAATAGAGAGTAGTGACCTCAAATAACAGAGGAAGCGCATGAGTATGGCGAAACAGCGAGAAGAAGTGAAAGTAGAATGCAAGATTTGAAGCCAAAAAAAAAAAAAAAAGGATTGATGAAAACAGAGAGGAATTGAGTTTGGGTTTGAAAACACGGGATGTGAGCGGAGGGGGTAGCGATTTACTACGCGTCACCCACATCAACGCTCTGAACTGCCCCATCACTCCACCACACAAATTTTGCCACGTCATCTACTTAAATAATAAAAAACGATAAGACTTTTTTCTTCTTCTTCTTTTTATTGTATGTAAAAATAAATTGAGTTCTCGTTTTGAATTTTTGATCGTGTAATTTATTTTATTCTTTAAAATTAAAAATGATAGTGTTTTGTTTTGAATAAAATTTATTGTTTTAAATCAATACTATATATAAAAGAAATACTTTCCTTCTGATTTTTATATTTTTTATTGTATATTATTTTTTTACTATTATATCTTTCAACGTTAAAATAAAAAGAAAAAAATGTAATATAAAAAATAAAAAATTTACTATTTCGATAAAAATTACTCACTAATTTTATAATCATTTTTAATCATTATTTTTTTAAGATTATTTTATTATTATTTTTAATTATATATTATCTCATTAGATGATTTACATATTAAAATTTTATTATTTTATTATTTTATATTATTTTTAAACAAAATTTATACAGACATGAAATGTTTGTTTTCTATTGATCGTCATAAAACAAATGAATATTGGTTTACGTTTTTATAATTTTTATTTTACCTTTACCCTTTCAAATTTTAAAATTATTTTTCTCTTTAAAATTTTATTTTAAAGCAAAGATATATTTATTTTATAAAATTAATTTTTAAAAAAACATTATATGTTATATGATTATAAGTATTAATAAGTGATACTTAAGAGTTAAGATGGTTACTTAGTTTTTTTTAAAATATATAGTATAACCAAAAAGAAAAAACAATCTATTTTAGAAATTAAATATTCTTTTATAAGAAATAGAATTTAGAGTTAAAACTTACTTATTTTATCGGTTATTTTTTTATATAATTATTTTATCTATTTATAGATACCGAAAAGAAACTTAAGCGAGATGATATTTTGGATATGTTTATTTATGTTTTGTTTTTTGGGCCCATCCCATCTACCAAATATGCTGAAAATATATTTTTGTCTCATCATAAAGAAAATATCTATTTTCTGTGCCATTGCCCAGTTCTCGAAGTTTCGTGGCCGTGCTACATATTCTGAGCACACTTTTTAATATATATATATATATATTTTTTATTTTTTATTATTTTATTTTTTTTATAAGAAAATTCATAACTTTATCTTCTGTCACAAAAATTAATAACTTTACTTGAGATGATAATTAATTAATTTATAAAATATTAAAAATTACCATGAAAATATATTAAAAAAACATTTTTGTCAAGCAAAACTTTAGTTTTGAATTTTTTGAAATATATATATAGGCAAGATTGTACTAAAAATGATGAGTTTGATTGTCTGACAGAAACTAATCGTCAATAAAATCAATGAATATTTACACTGATAACAAGTTGACTACTTAATTATTCTTATTAATAACGTTTTTGTGTTAGTTTTTTTTACATGTATTCTCTTTCAAAAACAATTTTAGTTGAGGTACAGTCGGATACTAATCGGAAACTCCTCTTTTAATGGAAATTTGAATCTTAATTCACCTTGTTGTGAGAGACTTTTTTTTTACTTGACTCAATCCCGTTAATATCTCATAAATAATATTGTAATTAAAAAACAATAATATTTCTTAAAAGAAGTTATGGAAGAATGTTATTAACACTTTTAAAATTATACGATTGAGGCCACATCTTTTAATATTGTAAGATGCTTTGTTTGAATTGGAAAATACTAAATTATAAGATGAAAGGTTGGAAAATGATAAGTTATGGTCCATATTTTAAAATGGGCCTAATTTTTAGTTCAATTTGGATTCTAAATTAATGGATTATCATTTCAATCAAGTGGCGTATCGGTCGAACTACTAAAAAGTAAAATAGTATATATTGTAGTATTATATTAAACAGTTGTTCTCAATAGTAAGAAAGTCTTTCACACAAAGTACCCAAAAAAGAGTCTTGCGTATAGGTTTCTTTTGTATGAAACATGTGTTATGATATAATTGACTCAACTATAAATTGAAAATAAAATAAGGTTGGATGTTAACAAAAATTATGATTTTTGTGTTAGACATTTTAATTTTTTAAAATCATATTATTAGTATAAAGTACCTATTGACTTTATTAATATTTGCCAAAATATTCGTTTTGCCAAACATGAATAACTAATTTTAGTTGTAAGTTAACTCATTGGACCAAAGGCAATTTATAGGCTCCATAACTAATAAAAAAAATTCTCATTTTCTATTTTTATTTTTATTTTCTTGTAAAAGTTCATGTAGAAAAAAAATATTGAAATGGTCCTAATCCTCACTCGATATATTTGTTCTATTTCATTTGTCTTTTTAGCAAGCACATGCACGCCTCGTATATAATTTTTGTCTTCACATTCTCTTTGTTTCCCTCTTGTCACATGCTTGGTCTTGGTCCCTTTGTTGGGTTGCGACCACGAAAGACAAGTGGTATTGAGATGATAAGGCAAATGAGAGGTAGAAACTAGAAACCTACGAGTCATGAATGTTACGAGGATTGGATGGCAAACAACCAGAGAGGATTCTACTTCTACTTTTTAAAAAATAAATAAATAAATGTAATCATGATTCCAATACTTCTATCATCTAATCAAACCAATCGAGTCACCATTTTCTCCAAAACTACCAAAGTCATATTGGTTCGATCTGGTGCATAAAGCTTGCCCAATCCAAAATGTGAACTAGACCAATTTACAGGGGGCCTATTTTCTCAAAATTGTACAGTGATATCAATGAGTGAGGAAAATGAATACAATTATATTTTTATTTATAAAATTAATAGGTAAGGGATCACTCCACATAATTAATTGATCACAGTTAATCATACATGAAATCCTTTATACGAGACTTAATAATGTCTAATTTAGTCTAAATTTATTTGTCAAAAAAGAAAAATATCTATTCTAACCAATAAAGGTTGGTCTAATTAATAAAAATAGTTTGATTCTTACTAATGTTAAGACTTCACTGGTTAATAATCTCAAAATACCTATATTCTAAAACCTGGAATTCAACTCATCTAAATTTCTATATAATATATATATATATATATATATATATTCCATGTATAATTAGGGTTTCCAATGAAAATTATTTTACCGTAAATTCTTAGTAGCAATTTCATGCTTAAAAAAAAAACTAATTCTAATATATATATGTGTGAATAATTAAAATAAAGAGGAAAATTAGTAATAGAGGATCTTGTGCGGTTCCTGGATTATTAGGTTTTGAGAACATGAAAATGATGAACAACAAGGGGAGCTAAGAAAATGAGTTTAAATGTGACGATAAAGGGAAGACAATATACAAAATAAAGAGTAGGAGAAATGAGGAAATAGGAAAGAGGAATCGCACAAGAAGGATGAAATCAGGCCTCATCGGCGGCGGCGGCAGGAGCGTCGTCGTCGGGGTCTTGAGCAGGGTCGGACTTGTCAATGGAAGAGCGCGCCTTGCCAAGGAAGGGTT